TTTTCTATTATTTTCAATACTATCCCATCCCATCCCATCCCCTCCCACCTATAATAGTTACCCGACCTATGTCGTCAATTCTTTCGTTCACGATAACTACCGTTAGATTTACGTTAGCTGATTCAAATTTTGTAATTTTGTCCATTTTGGTCTGATGAAGAACTGTATATATTTTCGGTTAAATCGCATTTACCGACTACTTATAAACGGTAATTAACGTAAGTGTCCTACATACGCTGTTTTCCACTAATCTGTTTTTATGAAAGTTCCATTCCTCGGTTTCCTTGGTAACCTTTGTTGGCTATCAGCTGATGTTTTATTTCAATTTCATTTTTTCATTTTTTTTTGTTAATAAATCATTGCTAGGTTAGTTTTAATTTTTTTGCCAGCATTTATTCTACCCCCCCCCCCAGCTCATTTTTCTAGCTCCATCACCCTCTCCCCTCAACCCATTTTTCTATGGATTTTATCATTTTTTTATGGCATGTCTTGCTCCCCTACCACCATTTTTTCGGGATTATAGATATTTTAGCGGCCTCCGGGATTACTATCTAGTATATCCAGTACTGTTCCCCGAACGGATGATGTGGCAACTGAAAACAGGAGCCACTGCGCAAGATGACAGGGCAAAACGAAGCATCGCTTTTCCTCCGGAGTGAGTCGGTCGCTTACAGTGGCGTGGCGTGCATTGCGATATATCGATTGATCTGCCATTGAAACCCATGGGAAAGGATCGATTAACATGGTGTTCGCAACGAATATATCAATAATCGATTCTTTACCATAGGTTTAAATGGGTAAACATCGATAATCGACCATTCACGCCTCGCTACTGGTCGCTTGGCGTTGGCTGTTTGTTTTTGTTTCTCACAATCGCAATCCACCGTCGCTCAGTGGATCGAGTCAATTAAAGAGGCCGGGCATGAATTTTTTTAATATATCTGCAAATTTTGGCGTATTTTTCGTCATATTTTAAATTTTTAGGGGTGCTTCTAGTAGACAATGGAGATGTTGCATGTGTGAGGAATTTGCGATTTGACTGTTGATTCTTGTGTGAAAGTTCGCGAGAAACACGATGGTGCCACTGGTTTTCTCTGAAATGAACTCCCAAGCTCAAAAAAAGCTCTCAAGTTGAGGCCAACATGGAGGGGATATTCCACCCTACCCTGAGACTCCATCTCTACATCAAAACAAACTCTCCATGCAAAGATAGGGAGCAAATACATTAGCAGGGTTGCCGTGTTTTCAGTTTTGGAGTCCCCAAATAAAGTGGCAGCCCTGTCAATGTATTTGCTCCCTATCTTTGTATGAAGAGTTTGTTTTGATGTAGAGATGGACTCTCAGGATAGGGTGGGATATCCCCTCCATTTTGGCCTCAACTCGAGAGCTTTTTTTGAGCTTGGGAGTTGATTTCAGGGAAAACCAGTGGCACCATCGTGTTTCTCGCGAACTTCTACTTAAGAATCAACAGTCAAATCGCGAATTCCTCGCACATGCAACATCTCCATTCCAAGAGAAAACCAATGGAACCACTGTTAGAACCTCAAAGTTTTGTATAAACAGAGATATAAGCGTTTGAAGTTTCCGAATTTTGTCCGACCTCTCCTCTTGACTCGATCCACTGTGCGCCGCTCTCCTGCGAATCCGAGTGGGACACACACGGCCCTGCGGCGCGCCTGCGCAGTCGGTTTCGCGCCGCGGATCGCAGATGTCGGCCAACGCGCAAAACCGCTCACCGGTACGGCGGTTCCAGGGCCCGAATTGCAACGGAAAGCGGAAACTCACAGGATCCAGGGAAATCGAACCGGGGTGGAATAATGTTAACGGCGCAAAAGAAATTCCATTCGGGCCGATGACGCGACGTGAGCTCAGCCTCGGATTAATGAATGACTCGCGACACCGGTTTCCAACGCAAAATGACGCGGAACATCAGAGCGACGGTCATAAGCTCTGGATAGACGATCAAATTCCCGAACCAATTCCGAACAAAGTGTCATCAAAGTGTCGGGAGTCATCAGTCTTAAACTCATTAATTTGCTACATTTTAAAATGAAAACTTGGCAGAGATGTTTCCTGTGGCAGGAAATGATGAATGGTGGCACTTCGTTTTGATCGTACTTTGAACAAAAAAGTGCGGCCCGTCAAAATTTGATGGTAGATGGTGACCACCAGTCATCAGCATGTCTACTTTGATCGGAATTGGTTCGGAATTTGATCGTCTATCCAGGGCTGATGAGAAGGTATTGAGAGTATTGGCCAGTTGAGATATGAGTACAGAGATTTTGGTAATTTCGAGTTTGATTCATATTCATATGTAATTTCTAACTATTATTTTTTAGGTCTAAAAGTACGACTACTAGTTTCATCTGTAAATCCTCTTTCTTTCTTTCTTTCTTTCTTTCTTTCTTTCTTTCTTGAGCTGTTCCTTTCATTTGTAGTAAAACTTGATTCTATTCCTAGTCGGCTACATCAATTGGACTACATTTTGCAATTTGGAACTATACATTCTAGCCCGGTTTAAAAACAACGCGTAAGCCATTAGTTTCCCTATGCACATAAGCGTTTTTCCAGGAGAGCCAGAATTTATAGTTCAAAATTGCAAAATGCAGTCCAATTAAAGTTTACAATTAATGAATTAGGAGAGACAGACTAAGAACGGCCACTGAAGGCTCCATTCGTGATAGGTCAATTTCCACCCGTGAAATGAGTTCCTACCGCTTTTTGGAGTCAAGAAGCCACTACCGGCGAGTAGGGACTTTAAATGAGGAAACACAAAAACTGATAGAAGGTTGGGAAACCTCCAAAACGTTAGTTAAAGTGGTGCAAAGGCCCAAACCGGCTGATGGTCTCGACTAGGAGTACTGGGACCGGGAGAACTCGGACTCCGTCATTATTTGAGCAGCGTATATAATGTGGTATCATTTGAATTTGAAGGCGTTCTCAAGTAGCGGGTGTCCGAACGATTGTATGCCAAGACAGTGCCACTTCGCTCCAATAATATGGATTGCATTTTGCAAAAAGGAACCACTAGCAGTGCAATGTTGCTAAAATTGTGCAACTTATTTTGTCTTGGAGGAAAAACCCGATTGTCCGTTAATAGTTTCTATTTTACTCGTTAAAAACTGTAAATTTAAGACAAAAATTACCATCTAAATTTCATAGTTTTTCACGATTTCCGCAATTTTATTGCAAAGGATGAAGTTGCACAATCTTAGCATCATTGCAATGCTGGTGGTTCCTTTTTGCAAAATGCAATCCATATAAAGTGGGTGTTCGAAATCACTGATCGTAGGAAGACAGAACTATACTGAACCGCAAAAATAAGCCTATTTTTTTCGTATGATATGAATGGGTCTGATGCACGTAAGAGGTACAGCCAAATAAATACACTCTTTCCAGGTAAAATCACACGAAAATTACGTTGGACACGTCAGAAAAAATCTAAAATCTATTCTTTAGTGCGCAATTTGAGTAGTTTGTAACACGCTTTTCCAAGTTTCCCGCGTCTGCGGGCAGTTTTTCTCAGTCACCGCCGACCAGGTTTGCACAGGCAGAGAAGTCAGAAAAACCAATCTGAGTAAACTAACGATTTCACTAACTTTTTCAATTGTATGATTTCAATAGTTTTCAAGCTTTGTTAAGTAACTTTTTTTTAGTTCGCAATAACAAAAGCTTTGAATCAATTGAAATTTTACGCAAGGAGAGTTTATAGCAGTTCGCGAGATGTTTGTTCATTTAGGTGAGATCTCTCTGCGGGCAAACCTGACTGCCGGTCACCGTGAAAAACTTCCCCGCATACGCGGTAAATGTGAAAAAGCGTGTTACAAACTACGCAGATTGCAGAGGAGTGTATTTCAGATTTTTTTTTTTTTTTTTTTTTTTTTTTTTTTTTTTTTTTTTTTTTTTGTTTTTTTTATGTGACCAACGTGATTTTCGAGCGAATTTTCCCAGAAAAAGTGTATTCAAATGGTTGTATCTCTCCCGTGCATCAGACCCATTTCGTGGCTGAGGCTACGTAACTTAGTCCATGCCCAGTTGGCGCCAGTCCACACTATGGTTTCTTGAGCCTTAATCTTATCAACGATACACGAAGCAAGCACTGCAATTTTTACTGCACTGTAAATTTTAAGTATGTGCACCGATGCGTGCGGTGAATAGTGCTATCCACATATATTTTCTCCTAAAACCATATCATACAATCATGTGTCCCAACTGTTGAAACTATTTTCAACAATTTTAAACAAATAGTGAAAATACTTGGTAAAATTGCTTAGATTTACTTTTGTAAAACCCACCAATTCCACTTAAAATATTTTACTGTCGACGCGTTTCGACCGCGGAACAGTCGCGCCGCACGCATCAAGTCCTGAAGAGGGGACCTCGTGAGAACTTAAAAATATTTTCAAAAAAATATTTTTAAAATGTTTTTAAAACTTTTTTAGGGGATATTTCAAAAATGATTACAGGCAATATTTTTGAACTATTTTAAAAATATTTTTTTGTAAACAGTTTCAAAACATTCCCTAAAAAGTTTTAAGAACATTTTGAAAATATTTTAATTACAAAATTGTCATGAAAATATTTTGATAAAGGTGACAATATTTTCAAAATATTTTCAAAATATTTTGTGCTAGCTGGGTTTCATCAGCATTAAAAATTCTAAATTTTTCAAAGCGTAATTTTTAAAAGTTGCAAAGCTCGAACTCAACCCATCCTCACACACCCCAACGGCGAAAAAGTTCACATCCCGCATCACATGCCGTCACCACATGCCGAACCCCATGGCAGGGACTTCATTCATCGCTAAGGAATGTATAAAGGAGGGTCACGGCTCTATCGATTTTTCTCCCCCCGCCCCGGAGGGCGGGGGGGGAGGGGGTGGGGGCAGGAACTGGGTCTGCTTCAAGCCCCGCATGACCCAGCTGAATGAAATCCGTCACCCGTGGTGTGGAGCGAGCGGTGCCGACGCGACGCGCGGAGGGGAGGGGAGCTAACTCGGGTAGTTGGACAGCGTTCATCCCGCGTAAGCGTAAACAGTCTCCAGCTTTTCGTGACGGTGTGCAGACGCCACGCAGAGCGATCTCCTTTTCTAAGCACGTGAATAATCTCAGTTTTCGGTTTGTTTGTTTTGTAAATTGCTCCCGATTCTTTTCGTTTCGTCCCTTGAGTTTTGTGCGTTTGCGAAGGTTTACTACCGAGTGCTTTTTGCGTTGGATTACCTTTCACCTCCGCTCCTGAATTTTATGTAAGTCCAGACGAGATCTGTTTGTTTACACTTTGCGTCGGGTAAAAAATGGTCGGGTTTTCGGTGGCGCTTAGCGGCGCTTTGATTCTGCTCTTATCTTGTTTGTGGCGTATTTTAGTACACATTCCTCTGATATCAATTTGTCACTACTTTAGTTGATTCTTAAAGCTGTTGATTTGACAGCTCGGGTGTAGAGTGTTCGTTATCCGTAGGTGACATTATTACTTGGCGTTATATTATCATTATTTGAGTTTATTAATCGTGGATCAAGAAAATTGTCTACGGATAGGGCAGCATGGAAAGGAAGAGACTTACTTATGGAACATTCGAAAGTTCAATCTAACATTTCGCACAGCAGAAAATAAATCAGAATATTTCAAGAAATATGCTTGAAACATTTTGATGGAAATTCAAAATATTGTGTTAAATTCAGTAGGTTCTTTCCTTTCGTGTCACCTCGCATAAGTATGGTGAGAATGAAGAATTTTACACTTTTACTACCTCTGACAAACTTCACGAAAGTTTCATTATGAAGTCTATTAATGTGCTTTAGTACCCAACTTTTGTTTACATTATGTCAAATATTTGTTCTCCACAAGTTTACCAGACCCCTCAACAACAGAAAGGCAGGAAAAGCTGAGGTACAATACAGTCGCATCTTCATGTCACTTTTTCTTAATAGGTAACACGTTGTTGTCTGATGTGCAATTTTACCTCTTCTGATCTTGTTAAGGACAGGGGCGGACTGGTAGTCGAAAAGTTAGGAGGCGACCTAAATGTGGGGGCCCCTCCTGTCGTTCGGGGGGCCCTACCCCCCGGGAAATTTTGAAAATTTCACACTTTTTAAACGCAATCTTAAGCATTATTGAAGTTAAATTCTACAGTTCTTGAACTTCAAAATAACCCATTCTCAGGATTCTTCGGGGGCCCCTTCATCACATAGCTCTAGGCAGGGACGGACTGGCCGGGGTGGCGATGGGGCGATCGCCCCACTTCCATGGGCCAAAAGGGCCCCGGAGGGGCCCCTTTTGGCCGATTTGAAGGGCCGTATTTCGCCGTTTCGAAGAAGCGCCCGAGGGCTTTTTCGGTTCGTCCTCGAGAAAGGGCCCCGAGACTCCTGAGAGGACAGGACACTTTATTGCCGATTCGGAGAGCGCCTTGAAGGAGCTTTTTTATGCCGTATCTAAGGGCGTTGCATTTTGAGAGCCCTTTTCTCTGATTCGAATAAGTCCAAAGGGGTCCTTTTTTGTCATTTCAGAAGAGCCCTGAAGGACTCATTTATTGCCGATTCGAAGAAGATTCGATGGAGCCTTTTTTTGCCGCTTCTAAGGACCTTAAAAGAGCCCCTTTATCTGATTCGAAGGAGTCCTTTTTTGCCGTTTCCAAGGGACCATTTATTGCCGATTTGAAGAGGCCTTGATGCGGTTTTATACCGCCTCTAAGGACCTTCAAGGCACCGGGCTCTTTATCGCCGATTCGACAAAAGGGTCCTTTTTGCCGGGGGCCCTTTGGTACTGATTCAGAGAGGCCTCGAGGGCGCATTTCTATGCAATTTTGAACTTTGAAGGCCCCTAGTAGGGAACCTTTCCTACCTTCCTCAAGGGATTTCGTAGGGACCTTCGGCGATTTTTCCCCCCTTTAGCGAAATCCATAATGGGGGCTGTACATATAATACGTAACGCAGTTTTTCCGATTTTTTTACCCCCATCCCCCCTCCGTAACGCATCGTAACGCAAGCTCGAACCATCCCCCCCCCCTAAAAAAAATAAATAAATACGTAACACAAGCCTCGCCCCTCCCCCCTATTTTGGTCAGTTTTTTAAATTAACAAGGAAAAAAAAGGTCTTACGGCAAAAAAGAGTTACGTAACGTTGGGCTTGACCCCCCCTCCTCCCCCCTTAAACGGCACTGATTTTTCTATGAGCAGAGCGAAGAAAGGATCCAATAAAACGTTCAAAAAAAATTAAGACAGTTGTCAATTTTGGCGGCTAAAAAGTACATTTAAAAAAAACAAACGAACAAAAAAATCCGAACTGTGTTTTTCAGAATGTGTTCTTTTTAGAATGTCACTATTACTATTCTACTTGATTCTATGTATCTTCTGTATACTAATTTAGCTTTGGCACAATTTTTCGTTGGAAGAGGAAAATAAAAGTTGAATTCTAAGTATACAACGGATTCTCATTTTTTCATCCAGTTTAAGAAAATATACTAAGTTTTGCATTTCTGGTCTCTTTTTGGATAATGTTTCAAAAATAATATTAAAGAATAAGGTCTAAAATAGCGTAAAATTCATTCTAAAAGGGCCTAATTTTCAAAATTTTCCGGGGGAGGGCCCCCGTGTAACGAGGCAAATCCCCCTTCACTGCGAAGCAGGTCCAGGACATCAGAGGCACATACGTCCTCTGGTATAAGATATGCCAACGTTACTTGAGGTGCCGGATAACTTCAGTGGGATGCCTGGATTCGGGCGCCATAAAAAAAAATAATAATAAGTGAAATCGAAATTGAGAGAGAGAAAATTTTAACTGGAGAGGGAATTTAGCAGAGCTCCGTCTGATGCTGCTCAGCTCGCGCACCACTACTTCACTACTTACGTCAAAGGTTGAAAGCGTGTTTTCCAACTTACAAGTATTTATTTAAATTGAGATTTATCAATAATTTCCACGTATACATATAATTCATTCTTAAAATTCTACGGATATTCTGATCGAAACTCGAGGGAAAATGGTTCGGAAGGTAAATTAAAATACATCTCTAAGACCAACCAAATCTAAATTCTACTACTTTTCTCAGTAAAACTCGCAGAGAGATGCAGCTCAACTCGCGCACCTCGCTCCGCGCTTTCCACCGAGGAAAGGCCGCTACTCTTGGATCACGTTTGCAGGGGTAATGCACCTCAGCTCGGGCACCACGTCCCACGCAACCGAAACCCCAAGAGGTCCAAAGCTGGAGCAAATCTTCGGTAAAGCTTTATCCACCGTACCGCCTATTTGCTCCAACCGCAGACATAACAAGCCAGGATCGCAAAGTAAGAAGAGAAATGCAGGCTCACCTCGCCGCGCCTCGATCGACGTACTAGATAACTCGCTTTAACAGTCTGCTGGATCGGAACGTCCCCCCCCGATTGATGGGTCTGGTCGGGAGGCCACCAATTTACAAATTTCAAAAAAAGCAAGTGTTCGAGTTCCGTTCCATTTTGTGAGCATACAATATATAAAAAAAAAATATAAAATTTACATCGTTGGCTTTGCCTCGACTTCTTTTATCGATCTGTAGAGTTAAAATTAAAATACAATTTTTTTTAAAATTTTAAATTAATGAAAAATATTTCAAAATTGACAGAATTGCCGCAGCGCTCCCTATTGGCGCGGTCGCGGTGCTCGGATGGACGCCGAGCGTCAGCTGATTTCTTCCTTGGTTCGTCGGCGCAGACGCGGCGGTGCCAAGCATGCGCGTTCGCGACTTTATTGTTTCAATTTTTTTTAATTCACATGAGCTTAACTTAAAACGGGGGAAAAATTTCCCCGTTACACCCCGGACCCCCCTTCTACTGGGGGCCCCCCAGACCCCCCTAGGGGCCCGCCCCATACTTAATTTAGGGCCAGTCCGCCCCTGGCTCTAGGCGACCTTTCATGTCTCTCAGATACAAATTTTCAAGGATTTTGGGGCCTTTTAGTGACTGAAAAGGATAGGAAAATTACAACATTACAGGGAAAAAAACGATGACTCAAAAAAAATTCGCCGCGGGGGCCCCCTCGGGACCTCCGCGGCAAATTTTTAGGAGGCGTTCGCCTCCCCGCCTTTATGGCCAGTCCGCCCTTGGTTAAGGATGTTCAGATTTTTGTAGAAGAAAGGTCTCAACAATCGCTGAATCACTTGACCTAGTTTGCTCCTTCATTGAGAAATGTTCCAATTTTCTAACTCGCCGTTAAAGCTTGATGCATGCGTTTGTTACCCTTCTCGTCGAATCCTTCGTCACAGATCATGTAATAACCTATTTCACGAAGCTTTGATTTATCAGATCGTCAGGGTGTGTGTGTGTGTGTTTTTTTTGTTTTGTTTTTGACTTTCATTTTGTACAATTACTTCTTTAAATTAAATTTTTGGGGAAAAAACATACTTTGTTTTGGAAAATTGGTAAGTGCCAATCGTTACTAGCCTTCTCGGCAGAAATCGCGTCGATGGGTCCATTTTTGATTCTTGAAAAAGAATGGTAATCCTTCTTCTGACTAAGTTTTTAAGGATACAACAATTCGGCCTCTTAGACCACGCTAGGAAGTATCTTTTTTTCTTGAAGGCGTTTTTTACGCATCGACGCTCTTCACCTGGAAAACGAGGCAAGCGCACTTCTTGGTATCACACGCTGATACATCGGATATTGAAAGGATGCAAGCTAGTATTCGACCACTAAAACCACGCCACGAGATAATACCTCTCGTTGAAGGCTTTTTTTTATGAGTTTACACTCTTCATATAGCAAATGAAGTAACCACCTAACTTGCTAATCCACGCTGCTACCTGCTGTCGATTGGGGTTTTAAAGCATGCAACTATTCAGCCTCTGAGACCACGCCAGGAAGTATCCTTTTTCGTTGAAGGCGTTTGTCATGCATCGACACTTTTTATCTAGCAAATGAAGCAACCGCAAAGCTCGCTACTCTATGCTGCTATTCTATTGAGTATGTTTTTAACGGATAAAACTATTCGGCATCTAATCCCTCGCTAGGAAGTATCTTCTCTCATTAAAGGCGTTACAGACGTACTCTTCTTATCAGGAACCTACCAAAGCAATGGAATCGGGACGTGCGAAAACCGCTGATGTCCATTTTTCCAATCTTAAGTTTTTTTGAGTTCATAATACTTTCCGGAGTTGGTCGCTACTACGAAAGTGGCGTTAAGGTGATTCGATGGACGCCATATTTTGTGTCAGAACGGTATGCGATATATCGCATCAATTGGTTCCATATTTTCAGCTACTCGTCATTTTTCTCCTATTTT